GTTGCTCTTAAATACATTACCGAGCCGAAATGGTATTATGTTATTCTGAAGCAGTATAATAGTTTTTGTTTCTTGTTATTACATTACCATAAATCGTAAGTGGTAGAAGACAATCTTATAATGGGTAGTTTCTGAGTTTTTACCACTATAATGAATCAAGCCATCCAAAACTCAGCTTATTAGCATTTATCCATTTAGATAGAACTATTCCATTTTTATACACAGAATGGGAGTGGAATTGATATAACTCTCATGGAGGGTTATTTGACAGTATGAACAAAAGCTTTAAAAGTGTTTGTATACTTTGACTTAGTATTCTTTTCTGGAAACGTTTTTTATTATGGGAGAATTATATTGCTGTCTATTCATAGTTTTGCCCTTCTTTCATTCCATGTAATTTTTTTTCTCCTGTACTGGGTCATTCCATGTGATTTTTGAAAGACCTGACTGTTGTATGACCCTGTCATAAGAGTGGGAATAGGACCCAGTTTTGCCATTGAAAAGATTTCAGCTCATGATTAGTGATCCATCAGTTGACTGTGACTCAAGCATTCTGAGTCCATTTTGCATATTTATGAGAGAATCAAGAAAGGAAGGGTCACCAGTGACTACGGTGGCTTTTTTTTTTTTTTTTGCCATCATGACTAAACTGTTACAGAGGAAAAGGAAAGTGGACACGAAAAGCAGAGAATGAGGTTTCCAACTTTTCAATTCTTTGTAACATTTGCTAGTTATCTTTCTTTTTTAAAAAAATTGGTGGTTTTATTTTATGTAAATAATACCTTAATAAACAAGGAGGAAAATAAATAATTCATGTTCATTCTTTCAGGTTTTTGCCTACTACTAGTTATCTTTTTGATTATAGCCATCCTAGTGGATATGAAATGACATTATGGCTTTCATTTACTTTCCCTAATAGCCAGTAATGTTAAGTATCTTGCAAGTGTTTGTTGGCTATTGATGTATTTTCTTTGAAGAACTGACCATTCACATCCTTTGGCCTTTTTAAATAATTGGGCTGTTTATGTTTTTATTGAGTTAAAAGAATTATTTTTGTAGATAATAAATTCCTTAACAAATATATGATTTGCAAATACTTCCTCCTTTTCTGAAGACTGTCCACTTGTTTTTTGTGGTACTAGAGATTGAACCCGGGGCCTTATGCATGCTACTCAGGCTCTCTACCTAGTGATACCTTTTTTTTTTTTTTTAATGACACTAGGGATTGAATCTCTAGTCCTTTTTGTTTTTATTATGAAAGTGTCCAGTTAAGTTGCCCAAACTGGCCTTGATTTGTGATTATCCTATTTTAGCTTCCCAGGTAGCTGGGATTACGGGCATGTGACACTGCAGCTGGCCCAGCTCTACTTTTTATATGGAGTTCTTTGAGGCACAAAGGTTTTCAATTTAATGAAGTTCACTTTATGTGTTTTTTCTTTTGTTACTTTATTTGATTGACTTGTCTTTTGTTAGACTAGATTGCCATATCTGAGATTATGAAGAGTTACCCTTTTTGCTTTTAAGAGTTTTAAAGATCTGGTTCTTAAATGTACCTCAAGTCTGTTACTTTTGCCCGTGCACACACGCACACACACACATTCATACAAATCCATCTCCTTTTGACAGTACCATATTGTCTTCATTGAGTACCAGCTTGCTTTGGAGTAAACTTTGAAACATGTGAGTCATTCAACATTATTGTACTTTTTCAAACTTTGACTCTTCTGGGTCCTTTGCAATTCCATATGAATTTTAGAATCAGCTTGATAATTTTTATAAAAAGCCGGCTCAGATTCTGTTAGTGATGTTAAATCTGTAGATCATTTTGGAGAGCTTTGCCATCTTAATAATAGTAAGTCTTTTAATCCATGCACATGGAGAATTTTCCATCTATTTAAGTCACTTTAATCTTTTTCAATAGTTCAACCATGTTTTGTATTTTCAGAGTATAAATTTTGTTCTTTTGTTAAATTTATGCCTAAGTATTCCTCCCCCCCCCCTTTTTGGCAGTGCTAGGCCTCATGCTTATTCTTTTTGAACAAATTTTAAATGGAATTATTTTATAGTTTTACTCTAAGGTTCTTCGTTATAAAGTGTATAGAAATAGAATTTATTTTGTATATTGATTTTTGTATTTTGCTATCTTGCTGAACCTGTTAGTTCTAATAGTTTTTTAGTTGATTGCATAGCTTTTTTTTAAATATAGAAAACCATAAATCACATCATCTGTGAATAAAGATAGTTTTACTTCTTCCTTTCCAACCTCGATGCCTTTTATTTCCCTTTCTTGCCCAGTTGCCTTTAGGACAGTGTTAAAGTGATGAATGCACACATCCATCCTTGTCTTGTTTGTGTTTTTGGCAAAGAAAGTATCCAGTTTTTTCACCATTAAATATGATATTAATTGTGGAGTATTTGTAGATGCCCTTTTTTTTTCAAATCAAACAAGTTGTCTGTGCCCACTTTTTTATTTTTATCAATGAAAAGTGTTGGATTTTTGTCAGATGCTTCTTCTGTATCTATTATGTTCATGTGGCTTTTGTTTTTTATATAATAAATTGCATATATAAAGCATTACACTAATTTTTTCTTGTTAGGCGAAACTTTTACTTCTAGGATCAATCAATCCCTTTTGGCCATGGTATATAATTATTTTTATATGTTGCTAGATTCAGCTCGCTAATGTTAAGGATTTTTTTTTTTTTTTTTAAAGAGAGAGGGAGGGAGAGAGAGAATTTTTTAAAAATATTTATTTAGTTAGTTAGTTTTCGGCGGACACAACATCTTTGTATGTATGTGGTGCTGAGGATCAAACCTGGGCTGCACGCACGCACGTCAGGCGAGCGTGCTACCGTTTGAGCCACATCCCCAGCCCTAATGTTAAGGATTTTAATGGACATGTTCATAAGCACATTCATGTTAGTTTTTTTTTTTAAAGAAATTCTTTGGCTTTGGTATCAGGGTAAGACTGGCTTCATAGAAGGAATTTGAAGTGTTCTCTTTCTGTTTTGGAAGAATTATGAAGGTTTGGTGCTATTTGTTTTTGTTTGTTTTCAGTACTAGAAATTGAAACCAGTTCCTTGTTTATGCTAGGTAAGCACTCTACAGCTGAGCTACATCTTCATCCCTTTTTAAATTTTATTTTGAGATGGTATCTCACTGGGTTTTCCAGGCTGGTCTTGAATTTGTGATCCTCTGGCCTCAGCCTCCCTAGTTACTGAGATTACATGTGTGAGTGACCACAACCAGTCTTTAAATGTTTAAAAGAATTCACCAGTTAAGGTTAGGATTACCTTACTGGATTACCCCTGTAATCCCAGCCATTTGGAAGGCTGAGGCAGGAGGATTGCAAGTTCAAACCCAGCCTCAGCAACTTAGCAAGGTCCTAAGCAATTTAGTGAGACCCTGTCTCAAAATAAAAAATTTTGGGGTGTAGCTCAGCAGTAAAACACTCCCTGAGTTCAGTCCCTCGTATCCTACCCAACCCCTGCAAAAAATGAATGAAGGAAGGAAGGAAGGGAGGGAGGGAGGAAGGAAGGAAGGAAGAAAGAAAGAAAGAAAGGAAGGAAGGATTAATTCATCAGTAAAGCCATTTGGGTCTCAGTTTTTCTTTTGGGGTAGTTTTTAACTAGTTGTTGAATATCTTTGCCAGCTATATGTCTATTCACATTGCCTTCTAGAGTCCATTTGAGTAGTTTCTGTCTTCCTAGGAATTGATTTCATCTCAGTTATCTAATTTATTGGCATATAGTTATTCCTTTATTGTCATTTTTATTTCTGTAAGGTTGGTAGGAATATCCCTTTTATTTTCTTACTTTTTTTAAAAAAATATTTTTTTAGATGTTGATGGACCTTTATTTTATTCATTTATTTATGTGTGGTGCTGAGAATTGAACCCTGTGCCTCACACATGCTAGGCAAGCGCTCTACCACTGAGCAGCCACAACCCCAGCCCCAACTTTTTTTACTTTTGATTCTGATACATTTTTTTTTTTTTAGTCATTCTTACTAAAAAGTTATCCTTTTAAAAAAAAATCTTTTTCAAAGCTTTTGGTTTTACTGTGGGTTTTTTTATTTCCCCCCATTTTCTGTCTCATAATACTGTCCTCACATGATAGGGATATAGACTCATATTAAAATTAGTTTCTCATAGTAGAAATTATAAATATTGATCAAGTATTTGGAAATTTTATCTGAGCATTTTGTTTGACTAGGTTCTCATATGCTTAACACTGGAAATGATTTGAAAGAAAATGTCGAAAATGATTCAGTGTTGCCGACCAGTGGAAAGTATGATCTGAAGGAACAACACAGTGTCACCCAAGCTACTCAGACAAGCCCAGAGGCTCCTTGGCCAGTTAAATTTCCTGAATGCTCCTTTGACTTTACTAGAGAACAGGTAATAGAAACCCTATTTCAGATTCAATTTCAGCAATTAAAATAATTATTAATATACTAATAGGTAACACATTATTTGTTTACTTATTTAAGTGAAACATTGAGTATTATTTAACAGACATTTTACATTACATCTGCTTCATTTTTATTTTAATGACTGAGTAATATGGATTGGATATATTATCATTTCTGAACTTTCCTTTTAACATTTGCTAACATTCGAGTTGCTTCTGATTTTTTTTCCATGGTAAGTAAACAAAATGCTCAGTAGGGTTTTAATTTATACATAATGAGTTTATTCATCTTTTCATCAAGGATTTATTGGATAATAACTCTGAGCAAGGAATGTAAAATTGAGCAGTTCCTGTCTGTTGAAGAACTCAAAATCTGATGGTAAAGGCAAAAGTTTGTTAACAGTGGTTACAGCATACCATCAGGTGCCACAGATTGGGGGAAATATAGGGACACATCCTCATTTGATCTATCTACAAGGCAGAACTTTTTAAGCTAAGACTAAAAGAGGTCTGAGAACTCTTTGAAATTGAATATGTATGTTTTCGTATATCTGTGTAAATGCAAAAAGCCCCTAGTTTTATTGTTTCCTCCTATCAGGGTTAGGAATGGCTCTTATGACAACAGAATACGTGACCTAAGTCAACAAAGGGGACAGAAGACTTATTGGCTATCTAGAGGAAAATGTCTAGTGGTACATTCAGATTGTGAATTGTGAGTTTGGAGCTCAGGAAACCGATTTATGCTAGATAAGGGTATCTGGTAGTTGAACTGTGGAAGTGAGACCATCCAAGAGAGTGACTCAGATGACAAAAGAAGAGACCAGCTATGAAATAAATAGAATATGGAAATTAAACATTCTCAAGAAAAAAAAAGGAAGAAGTTGGCATAGGTTGAGAGAGAAGCATGAAAAGAGCTGTGACATAAAAACCATAAAAGGAGAGATGTTTAGGAAAGGGGAAAGTTCGCAGTATCCAAAGCCATAGAGAGGTCCAATGATATTACAGTGAAACAAAATCACTATTAAATTTGGAAATGAGAAGTTAATTGTTTTGAACTATGGGGTCAAAACTTAAGGAAATTTTTAAAAATGTTTTTTAAATAACTATTTATTTTTATGTGGTACTAAGGATCGAACCCAGTGCTGCACACATGCTAGGCAAGTGCTCTACCACTGAGCCACAGTGCAAGACCCGTAAGGACATTTTTAATGGCATACGTGTTTCTGACTAGCTTCTCCAATGAATTTTAAGTGGACCCACACTAGATATTGGATATTTTTACTATCCCAAGTGTCAGACCTTTGGATACTCTATAAAATAGTGTATTTAAATTTTCTGGAAATGATTGAATTCTCTTTTCAAATTTATCATTTCAGCTCATGGAAGAAAATGAATCTCTTAAACAGGAACTGGCTAAAGCTAAAATGGCTCTTGCAGAGGCTCACTTGGAAAAAGATGCACTTCTTCATCATATAAAGAAGATGACAGCTGAATAACAGAAGTGGCTGTCAAAAGTTAAATGACAGCTCTGGAGTAGGACGGTTATATAAATAATGTCGATGTTATGTTACCAATTAGTGGAAGACTTTCCTTTTCATGAAAATAAAATGAAATGGAATGTGAAGTAGTGACTGTTCCAAAGCCAGTTTAGAAAATATTAGGTACGAGCATTACAATCTTTTGATTGTTCTATGTTTTGGTGTTTAAACCTCATTTAAACTGGTATGATCTAGGAAAGTCAGTACATACTGTAAAATAATTACATGCCTAATGAAAAGAAGATGTCATTTCCTAATTGTTATATCTCATTATAAACTTTTTAAAAGAGGAAAATGAAAACCTGTCATGTTCACTCAGATTGAATTTATTTCTCACTATTTGTTAATAATTTACTATTATTTACAAAGAACAGATGCTTTTAGGGCTAATGTAAAATAAAAGGAGCTTACATTTTAAATGTTATTAAAATTATGTACTGAAGTCTATAATTATTTAATTACTGTAAAATATCTAATCAAATTAATAAATTATATAATGAGTTTAAGAACTCTGAAAAATCTTCACCCTCTTGAACTTACAGAGTAACTTGAAGATGTGACAAATGATGGGTAAATTGTGTAAGTAGAAGCTATAATTTTCAAAAAAAGGTGGTACAAATGTAAAAATAAAAAGCACAAATATTAGAATATATGGCCATGTGATTTAAAAGCATTACTTGTACATTCCTTGAAACATTTATCCTTAGTAGTAATTTAACTATTCTAAGTTTAGCAACATTTGTAACTGTAAAATTTTTAATTAATACTATTTATATTATTTACCTTTATCTTTCCTCTTTGAGGAGAATATTTTCAGAGAATTTGCTTTTCATGAACAAATAATTTCATACCATTGTTGTAGTATCAGATGGGTGTTTACACATATTGAATTTATAAAGCTAGTTTTGATTAAAGCTTATGTGATATATATATATATATATATATACATATATAGTCTATAATAAGAGTCATTAGTAAGTTTTGAATTCTATTTTCTAAGGATTAAGGTTGAAAACACAAGAGAGAATCTCAATCATGCATTATGAAATAAAAATACATGAGTATTTAAGAAGCAGGCTTTTGAAGATTTAAAATATATTTCTGATAGAATTAAAGTAAATGGTGTCTATTTTAAAATTCACGTTCTTAAATATATAAAAGAACACAAAACAACTGGACTACTCTTTAACTTGAAAATTCTAAAACCATGTTGCAACATTTTATGGTGCTTTGCTTTTTTGGTATATATAGCCATACTTCTATCTGAGTGCTTGAGAGAAAATACATATTTCATCTACGTTAGTATTGAATGAAGTGATAGGTTTTATTAAAAACAGTAAACTAGAGGGTTTTTTTTCCCTATATTATTCATTTTCATTGACAGTACTTCAAAATATAGGCATTGTTTGTAGGGGCTAAATATCTAGCCAAGAACAAATTAAATTGTTAATACCTCAAAATATCTTAAAAAATTATGTTAAACTATGTTAATCTAAAACTGTATCATAGCCTTAGATTAAATGCAAAGATCTAAAGATTTAAAATGCATAGTGTATGCCCTTATAAGCTTAAACATAGCTTATGAACTTTTGATTTATCTGTACGTATTCAGCAAAAGCAGTCTCTGTTGTGGAAAAGAAGGATCAATGGGACATTAACTTCTTCTTTGATGACAGTGTTTCTCAGGATGGACCTATTCTTACAAATTTTAAGTTTTTCTATGGTATATTACAATTGCTTAATGTTACATAAGCTGAATGTTTTTCTTCTTCCTTTTAAATGTATATGTAGCCTTCCAAGATAATCATATAAACAACAGAGACAATAATACTCTGAGCCTTCTTTCTATATGCTTTGTTGGATTTTTTTTTTAATTTATGAAAAATACTATTGAGGTTTAAAATTCATGAGACAAGTTCATACAGATTATAATTCCCACAATAAACCCTGAGAGGTAGGTATTATTCAGTTGTTGTATGTCTGGGGGGAGATACCCTAATGCTCAGAAAAGATGAATGAGTTGATTAATCACTGTTAGTAACCACTGTGTGCCACTGTGCCTGACTCATCCATTTTGAGTTGATTTTTGTATAGTATGAGATGAGGACCCAATTTCATTTTTCTGCATGTGGATGTCCAGTTTTCCCCGTACCATTTATTGAAGAGACTATTTTTTCCCCATTGTATGTTCTTGGCATCTTTGGAGAAGATAGGTTGATTATAAATGCATGGATTTATTTCTGGGCTATTTTATTTCATTGATCTATGTGTCTGTTTTTATGCAGATACACTAACCCTCCTAGGATTCACTCTGTACTACAAGCAGAATTCCTGTTCTGTTCAAAGTACAATTTTAATGAAAGCAATTAACCCACACACACCCCGCAATCCCTAGCTTAAAACATTTTAATGACTTTTCATTGCTTTTATAATGAAAAAATATTTTATATGAGCTATTGGGTCACATATATTAAGACCACTCTTTGTACTGTGGTTCTGAGTATTAAATAAGTTAATGTTTGAAAAGATAGAACTGTGGACACATCACCTAAAAACACTATTGTTATTATCATTTAGCCTCATTTTGTACCATGTTTTACTTTGTTCTACCTCCATTGTCTTGGAGTGAGCACTTCATTCATTACAAACTTTTTTTTTTCAGTACTGGGAATTGAATTGATCATGGGATTTTTGTTAATGCTGTTCCTTTGGCTTAAAGTACATATCCTCCTCATTGCCTAGTTAATTCTATTTGTCTGGTTTCTAACATGGAGTAAGACCCAACTGTTAGATATTCTCACATGACTATGCACCTCTAGCATTTAATGCCTTTGTAATTTTGTATGTATTTGTTTGATTAGTGTCAGACCTAGTTTGTAAACTCCATGAGAGCAAGAATTTTGTTTTTGTCATTGTTAAACTTTGTTCCTGGCACATAGTAGCTGTTCAGTGAACTTACTGAAAGAATGAAATGGTTGGGTGCAGTGGTGCACGCATGTAATCTCAGAGCATGTAATCTCAGAGGCTTGGAAGCTGAGACAGGAGGATCATAATAAGTTCAAAGCCAGCCTCAGCAACTTAGTGAGACCTTGTCTCAAAGGATGTAGGGTAAGGATGTGGCTTAGTATTTAAGTACTCCCTCGGTTCAATCTCTTGTAACACAACAACAACAAAGAAGAAGAAGAAGAAGAAAATGAGTGCATGAGATAAAAAGGATATTTTCCAGGTATTGAATATTTCCTATCATTTTGTTTGAAGAAAGATAGAACATAGGCAGAAAAGTAGTTGCTCTAGTTATTAAAAGGGAAAAAATACTTTGTGTCTAAGAGAGAAAAAAAAGGGAAATAGAATGGGACTATTTGCCATACTGTGTTCAGGGTAGGGAATATCTGAACCTCTAGTTGATTTGTCATAAATAGAAAATAAGCTCATCACTTTGTGGTACTGCTACCGTGCCAGAATGTCATCTGGCTTTTATTGTAACATATGGTGTTGTGGCTCTTGAGATCTGCCAGTCCCATTTGCTAAATGGAATGGAAACAAAGCCAAAAGAGTAGTGTTTGAAATAGCTTCTCTTTGGGAAACAAATTGATACTGAGACTTAATTTCAATTATACCTAATTCCTTCAAATGTAAAGAATTTGATTTTAGTTTGCACATTGAGTAATATGGAAAATAAATTTTGAACTATGTTCTAATTTTCCTTTTCAGATACATTAATTACCAAAAGTTAGGCTTATTTAGAATATAGAAACATTAAAGCAGTGATGTTTTTTATTTAACATGTATTTATTTTTTATTTTGTTTTTTAGTTGTAGTTTGGACACCATACCTTTATTTTATTTTATTTTTATGTGGTGCTTAGGATCAAACCCAGTGCCTCGCACGTGCTAGTCAAGCACTCTACCACTGAGCTACGGCCCCAGCCCAAAGCAGTAATGTTTTAAAAAGACTATTTCATAAAATTATAATACTTGATCCATTTTTGTTTTGGTTCTTGGGATGGTCTTTTTTGAAAGGCACAAAAATGAACATGAAAATGTAAGCATGATGGTTTCTTACAAATCATCTTAAAGTGAAGGGAAATTCATGTTAATGTTGAAATACTGAAACTGAACATATATGTTGTAGACACTATTGTGTAGCCTTAGCAGATTTTGAGAATTTAAATCTTTTTAGAGAAATTGAGAAATATGAAATCAAATTAATGTCTTTTTTTCTGCTTAGTATATAATATAAAACATGCAATAAATTTTTGGTTTTAGGAAGAATAATCACCAGGAATAATAATCTGTGTTTTAAAAATTCTGAAACTATATAAACAAAGAGGCAATACTGTATAAGTTAGTTTTTATTTTCAATGTTCTTTGTGTCATCAATCAAAAGTCAATTTGTTATTTACAATTTACACTAAACTCTGGCAAGTGAGATTTCTTGTATTTCTTATATTCACTGACTATGTTTAGAAAACATAAGCATTACAGAAGCTAGGAGAATAAAGTGGTGATTAAATCTGACATAATTCAGCAAAGCATTTTTATTGTTATGACAAAAAAACTTAAATGCTGAATCACACATCATCAAGAATAAATAAGATTTTATGGGCTAGGGATATAGCTCAGTACAAGGGATGTAGCTTGCATGTACAAGGCCCTGGGTTCAATTCCCAGCATCATAAAAATTAAAAATAAATAAATAAGATTTTTAAAAAATGAACACAAAGAGAAAGATCAGAAGTATCCTTGAAAGATATGGATGAAATAAATTCATTGGAGTATGATGGAAAGTTCATACTTTACAATATTTAAAATCACTCCAACTATAATAGATACATAGTATAGTCAGAGAAGAAACATTTAAAAGTAATCATGGGCTGGGCACAGTGGAGTAGGCTTGCAATCCCAGCAACTCAGAAGACTGAGGCAAGAAGATCACAAATTCAAGGCCATCCTGGTCAATTTAGTGAGATCCTGTCTGGGGATGTAGCTCAGTAACAAAGTGCCCCTGGGTTTAGTCCCCAGTACTAAGGGAGAAAAAAAGTAACCATAGTGAACAAATATAAGGAAATATGTTGAACAAAATTTTAATAATTAAGCACATGAGAAAAATTTGCGATAGTTCATTTGGCAGATATCATTTAGATTAAAACCTAAAGGATAATAAAAGCACATATAGAAGTTCTTAAGTTTATTATGAAAAAGGTCAGATGTAATTTTTTAATAAATGGTCTTCCCACAGTGTTAATATATTGGAATCTGTTATGATTCCAATTTGCACATAAAAAGTGAGCAGGATCACTTGCTGCTATTGGAGTCATTTTATATGACTGTAATATTGGGGCAATTTAATGTGGTGTTTGAATTCAAATATATGCTTTATAATTCTTATTGACATAATTAAAATAAGAATTTTAAGCATATTTCTTGCTTTATTCACTCTGTTTCTTGCAGTTAAATAAGAGATTTCAATATAAAGCATTGGAATTATGAAGGCAAAAGAATTCCAAAGAGAACTGAATTATACTGTTATAAACATTGATGTGGCTATATCATTATAGTATGCTGTTTTTACTTTTTTGGATAAATCCTGAGGAAATGGGATAGCTGGATCATATGGCCATTCTATTCATAGTTTTTTGAGGAATCTCTGTACTGCTTTCCAGAGTGATTGTACTGATTTGCAGTCTTACCAACATTATATGTCTGTACTTTTTCCCCCACGTCCTCATTTATTATTATTTGCATTCTTGGTAATTTCCATTCTAACTGGAATGAGATGATATCTCAATGTAGTTTTGGTATGCATTTCTCTGATTGGTAATTGAACATTTTTTTTCATATGTTTGTTGGCCATTTGTATTTCTTATTCTGAGAAGTGTCTGTTTAGTTCTTTTGTCCATTTATTGATTGGGTTATTTATTTTTTTGGTGTTAAGCTTTTTGAGTCTATATATTCTATATATTAATCCCCTGTCAGATAAGTAACTGGGAAATATTTTTCTCCCATTCTATAGGCTTTCTCTTCATGCTTTTAATTGTTTCCTCTTCTGTACAGAAGCTTTTTAATTTGCTGCTGTCCCATTTGTTGATTCTTAGTTTTATTTTATTTTTTTAAAAAAATTTTTTTAGTTGTAGTTGGACACAATACCTTTATTTTATTTATTTTTATTTGGTGCTGAGGATCGAACCCAGCACCCCATGCGTGCTAGGTGAGCACTCCACCGCTGAGTCACAACCCCAGCCTCCTTGGTTTTATTACTTGATCTTAGGGGTCTTGTTAAGGAAGTCGGTGCCTATACCACTATGTTGGAATGTCAGCCCTATGTTTTCTCTGAACACTTGCAAAGTTTCTGGTCTAATTCTGTAGTCTTTGACATACTTTGATTTGACTTTTGTACAGAGTAAGAGGTAGGAATCTAGCTAAATTCTTCTCCATATGGATGTCTTGTTTTCCCAGCACCATTTGTTAAAAAAGTTATCTTGTCTCCAATGTGTGTTTTTGGCATTTTAGTCACATATCAGATGACTATATCTGTGTGAATTTGTCTCTGTCTTTTATTTTATTCCCTAGTCTTCATGTCTGTTTTTTAATGCCAGTACCATACTGTTTTTGTTACTATAGCTCTGTACTATAATTTGATATCAGGTATTGTGATGCCTCCAGCATCACAAGATTACTTTGGCTATTCTGGGTCTTCCAAAGGAATTTTAGGACTGGTTTTTCTAATTTTGTAAAGAATGTCATTGGTATTTCGATGGGGATTGCATTGAATCTGTATATAACTTTTGGTAATATGGTCATTTTGACAATGCTAATTCTGCCTGTCCAAGAACATGGGAAGACTTCTAA